TATTATTATTATTATTATTATTATTATTATTATTATTATTATTATTACAAGTTGACTTGCAACCATTTTTAGTAGCCATTCCAACCTACAACAGCCCTGAAAAACGTGACTTATGACACTTGTGAGGGTTGGCAAGAAACGGTAGCAAGAAAGGTGTGACAAAATTCACTTAGCAGCTGTCTCGCTTAGCAACATAAATTTGCTGTTCAATCATGGTCATAAGTTGAGAATTCCTTGTACATATTTTTATTAATGTTCTTTGTCAAACTTTTTATGCAACCGCCCAAGTCACACCTGGGCCAGTGCCCAGAATAAAATATATTTAAAGGCCCTTTATTTACTGGAAACTGCATAGGTCAGAGGTCAGGCGCCTCTCTGAGCTTCAGGACCTGGGTTCAAGAGTTTCCACGTCCAGCCAAAGACCTGGCTGACACATTCCCACCGCTTTTGCAGCCTGGCGTAGCTTTAGGAGGCTTCAATCCGGAGAAAGAATTTGGAGGAAAAGTATGCAGCCCCCGTTTTCCTCCTGTGGGTGGGCTGCTGCGTGGCTAGGGCTGATGGGCTTTGTAGTGAGGATGCTTCACAAGGATGCTCGGGGGAAAAAAGAGGCACAAAGGGCAGGTGAAGTGGGCAGACTGGTGTGTGTGTGTGTGTGTGTGTGTGAGAGAGAAATCTGCTGGGGGGGTTGGACTAGATGACTTCCAAGGTCCCTTCCAACCCTTGTTAATCTGAAACAGGAAGCCCACTCAATGTACAGCAGGGGTTGGTGTGGCGTTTCGACTAGATGACCTCCAAGGTCCCTTCAAACTCTTTTTAATCTGAAACAGGAAGCCCTGTTCCGACGTGCAGCGTCGGGGTTGGACTAAATGACCTCCAAGATCCCTTCCAACTCTTATTAATCTGAAACAGGAAGCCCTGTTCCGACGTGCAGCGTCGGGGTTGGGCTGGATGACCTCCAAGGTCCCTTCCAACTCTTATTAATCTGAAACGGGAAGCCCTGTTCCGACGTTGCAGCGTCGGGGTTGGACTGGATGACCTCCAAGGCCCCTTCCAACTCTTTGTTCATCCGAAACAGAAACCCCTTTCAGAGGTGCAGAAGAGGGCGGGCCTCCCAAGAAGAGGGCGGAGTCGTGTCCCCCCCCCCCCC